GGAAGCGCGGCGAGGGGCTGGGGGCCGCCCCGCCCCGCTGCTCCCGGCGGCACACACACCTCCCCCGCCCGCCGAAGCCTCGGGAAGCACCGGCACGACCGAGCCGCACCTTCGCCTCGGCGGGGTCAGCCCGGCCCTAAAATGGTCCCGCATGGTGTGCGGCGCCGGCCGAGCGGAGATAATTCCGTGCTTGTGCTGTAATTCAAGCTGAGGGCGACACGTTTTCCTTCAGCAAGCGTTAACCAACTCATGGTGTTCTGAGTCATTTCCTCTGTCTCGCGTCCGACTCGGCTGACACACCAGCACCTCACAGTTATCCCTCCCATCACCGGCTCTTCCTCGTTTCCCCTCGCCGCGGCTCCGGGCACGGCCGGTGCTTAGCGCCCCGGCACTGCCACCCAACACGGGCTGGGGGGACACACGACCCATTTTATCTGGAATTAGCGGGGCTGCCAGGTGTTTCTCTGCTCACCCGTGCCCCCAGTCCATGCTGAAGCTCTGGTGTGTACCTGCGCAGCTCTGCACGCCCCTGGGAACCACCACTCCTGCCTTAGCTCCCAGTTCTGGTGCCTGGCAGGCAGCTGACCAGCACCCGAAGACAGGAGAATAAATATAGCAGCCTGTCCACTGCATTGCTTCTACCCGTGCCTGTGAAACTAATACAAAAAAACCCACGAATTTTTCAGAGAAAGTACTACTGTAATGTTCACAAAGTGCTCACTTTCATCATAATTGATTTTATATTTAAGTCTTTTCTTCTTTTACTAATGTTTTTGTAAAGGTTTTCCCCTTCTGATCTCCATTAGAGTTGTTGTAGGAAGCCGTCTCATCTCTAGTGTGACTGTCAGAAGCGCCAAGTTCTGCTTTGTACAACGTACATGAATTATTCTCTGTTGTACAGTGCCAGAGATTGGTACCATAAGTAGATTTTTGTTCCTGCTGCTCTTCAGCCAGATTAAAAAAAAAGTGATATTTAGTGGATTTACAAAAGATTCCAAAAGAACACAGGTCCTACACAGCACAACCCAAAACTCAAGTTCACATGAACAGTGATGCTTCAGCAGCTCTATAGGAGAGGAGAAAGATATAGCAAAAAACAGGAGCCAGAGAAAGCAGCAAAGAAGCTTCAGGCAGGTACAACTCATCATCAGGAGAGTACTACCCAGTGCTCATGAGAGCAATTCAATCCATTCACAACGAGTCATCTTAAGGTTACAACCACAGCATAGGAACAGCCAGGCTGTGTCAGGCTAAGGGTCCATGTAATTCAATATCCTGTCACTGACAGTACACTATAATAATGCCTGCAGAAGATTTTCAAGATGCGAATAAGCACATAAAGGCTCCATCTACTCTTCCCACTATACACTCTTATCCTCAAAGGATTTGTACCTCATCAACTTCCATTGAAAGATGAATTCTCTAGGCTTAACAGCTCCTCATGGCTTTTTGTGCTATTAATTTGTTCCTTGAACCTACATAAAATTCGGTATCTTTCAGATCTGGTGCTCATCAGTTCCACAGTTTAGCTCTGTTCTGTGGAGAAACTCATAATTTTGCTTTATTTTGAATTTGCCACTTGAAAACTTCACATCATTCTCCATTTTTCTGGTATTGAGAGATTGTAAACACAAATGAAGAACATTTTACCCCCCGAATGTAATTTGTGATTTTACAGGAAATTGTCAAAGCCTCTGTCAGCCATCTCCTTTTTCTAGATGAGGAGTTTTAATCTTTTTTGTTTAAAACAGTTCAATAACCTTGATCATCCTTGATTTAGGCTGGGGACATGAGCTACACAACACTCTCAAAAAGCAGGTCATCTTACTTACTTTTAATTTGCCTTTTTTCCTTCCTCTATTTCTTTTCATTATAGTTTTGTTTCCTATTTGTTCATGAGCAGTAAAGTGAACCACTCAATTTCTGAACTACTTAATTCTAAGATTTCTCTGCTGAAAGGCAACACTTCATTCATAACCAGCCCATTTATATAAATTTTGTTTTGTGTGTGTGTTTTTTTACTCTGTATATAAATTTATACTCTCAGACATTATTATATGTTATTTTTACAACTGTATTCTGTGGTGGTGCATTTTTATTGTTAATTTTTTAATTATTTATACCAATGGTTGGTTCCCGATACCTTTCCCCTCTGAAGTGGAATGGTTTCTTCCTAAGTTCTCCCCGCCTTTGTCCTGTGTCACTCACCCCAAGACCCTTCCCTGTTTTCCAGAATATTCCACATCAATCAACCCCAGGTTCTCTGTTGCCCATCACTGTATACCCTGTCCCTTATTCCAGACCCTTCCCTGTCCATCATTGTAAACCCTGCCCCTTATTCCAGACCCTTCCCTGTCCATCATTGTAAACCCTGTCCCCTATTCCAGACCCTTCCCTGTCCATCATTGTAAACCCTGTCCCTTATTCCAGACCCTTCCCTGTCCATCATTGTAAACCCTGCCCTTTGTTCTAGACCTTTCCCTGTCCATCTCCTGGCCCTCGAGGCCCCATTGGCCTAGGTGACTGGTCCTTTCCACCCTCTCAGCCCTGTTGGTCCCTGCACTGTAATCCCCTCCTCTTGCTCCTCCCTTCTGGGTTCCCCCATTGTTTGATTGTTATACCCTCCCATCACTTTTGAGTTGTATAAAATCCTGAGCACAGCAGTGCTCGGGGCTCTTTGGTCCCTGCTCCCCCTGGTGAATAAAGCTCTCTGGGATTCACACCAAAGGCTCCTCTCTATCCTTTACCCCTGTCCTTGGTGCTTTCTTTATTACCAAAAGCTGTAGAGCATGGCAGCCTGACCCACACAGCTCATCAGCCGTACCCCTGATTGTGCAGCTTTCTGGGGGCAGCCCCCACATCTGCTGCCGTGCCAGGGGCTGGCCTGGCCTAACCAAACTTGGTCATGGTGACAGTATTCAGTTTCATGATGTCCTGCTGCAGATAGCCCTAGTTTGTCTGAATTAACACCTTTACACTGAAGGCTTTAAATCTCATCAGCAAACTTCGTCCTTTCTCTGTTTGCCTCAATTTCCCCTTCTCTCAGTTACAGACCTCTCTTCTGTTTCTTATCTCTTACCCAATAAACAGCAACCATAAAAGCACCTTTCTTCTCTGTGAGCCTTTGCTAAGACACTTTGTCAAATACTTTTGGAAAGCCAATTAGATTGTATCCATTGGACCTTTACTTCCTTTGAAGGAGTTTATAGATAGCCAGGTCAGGATTTCCTTTCAGAAAAGTCATGCTGAGTCTGCCTCTCAATGGCATATTTATCCATATCTCTTTCTGCATTTCTTGTTACAGGTTGTTCATTTTCTCTAGACTCACTTCAGTATCCTGAATCCCTCTACAAAAAAAGAAAAGAAAAAAAAAAAAAAGAGAGAGAAAAGCTGTTTGAGAGTGCAATTTGACCGTTTCCAGAGCTCAGTTTACCAGTCTGAACAATCAGCCTTTTACCTAAGTTGTCTGCAACATGCTCCACCGTAGAGATGCATTTCAAGTTACCCTTAAACTGCTGCCAACTGCTGAGGTAAAGAGCAGAATCCATGGCCTGGGCACAACAAAGAAATAGGAGAAGGGAAAGAAGAAATATTATTTGAACTACAGGATTTGTGCAAAGTCAAACCACCATTTATTACATATCTAGGATATGTGAAAAAAAAAACAAAAGAGATCTTTGTATTGATCTTTTGCCTTTACTCAGGGCCAAGCTGGCCCTGAGCCTACAAGTAAAAGTCAGAAAAAGAAGACCAAAACCCAGAAAAGCTGCAGAACTTACTTTAACAGTTGTATCTTACTGCAACATAACCAAACCTGAATTTGCCATTAGCAAACATGCTGTATAGATGTATTTTTGCAGGGATAGCTTGCATTACCTCAGTCTAGTTGCAGTTCTTTATGTAACACCCCAGAAGTTACAAGGCAGAAGACATTAGATCTTTACCTCTAGTAAGTTGCATGCACTCAGTTGCATTGATCCACCAGTAAGAAATTACATTTTCTACACTCTAATTTTCATAAAACATTATTCATTTCAATACTAGTTTTTCTATTAACACCAAGAATTCTGTGAACGGTTGACAGCACTGTTAAACTTTAGAAGTTTTAATGAGTAAATTTTTCACACATATGAGAGAATCAGTTAATTTATATGCTTCAAGTCCAAAGTGTTTCCACAAGTTGAAGGGATTCACAAGGTGAAGAATTTGAGTCACACACATTTTCCAAACCAGACCTGAATGAATTCACCTTTAAGCCACTGAAATATGAGGAACTACTGTTGTGGAAATGAAAAGGCAGTATAATATAAAGCCAAATGGGAAGTGTTGAAAGAGGAAGCTTGTAGTTCTATAATTCTATAAGAATAAAAAGGACAAGCCCTTCTTGATACCCCTTCCAAGGTTTCCTCTACAATCCTGGTTGTGTCCTCTGAAAAGGGAGAAGGTGGGTAGAAACCAGGTTTTCCATGTAACAAAAAGTTAGGATTCTGTGATGTTCTTTTTTCTTCTGAAATGGCACGAAAACTTCCTGTGGAAAATTGGAGAAATCAGATTTGATTCAATCAGATGGTATCATTTAGATAAAGTCTATGATTCAATTTGATGCTGATCATTTAAAACTTTCAAGGCTTCTTGTAATATAAGCCCTTTCGAAATGTGTTCAAAGCTTATTTAAAAAAAATAATTGTAACTCTTCCAGAAATACCAAAATATTATGTTTTGATTTTTGTGAAATATTTCACATTAGCTTTTATACTAAAGCTTGATCTTGCATAGTTTCTATGAGTGCATGTAAGTGCATTGGCACAAATATTTAAAATAAGGAAACATCAACTTTTATCTACAGTGTTCTTCAGGGAAAACCTGATTTCAGCCACACAACTACAACTCTTAAGAATGATTAAGAAGGTAATTGGATACAAGATTTCCATCTAGCTGCCTTGCAGATGTGGGAACGTAGTTGTAGAAAGCTTTTAAAGCAAGGGAAAGACAAACCTTTGGTTAAGAATCAGGTTGGTGCTGTAGAAATTTCCCAACAGAAAAGAAAAGGTATCGTGTACTTGTTATATGTATATATAAAGTGTTATGTAACTATACGCATATATGTGTTCAGATATGTACAAAATGTTAGGGTGGGATGCTTTTTAAATTACTTTTATTTGGGGAAGAAGAGGTCCTTTAAAGACTGTTCATTTGGGACTACAACAATGATAAGAGAAGCTGATGGTTCCAATTACTGCTCTTCTTTTTGGAAAAGGAGGAGGAAGGATTGTTTGCAGAAAGAGAAAGATGAAAGCACCATGGTCTGTCTTCCTTGTGGAAGGGCTGGAGGGGAACGCAAGATTTCAGGGGATGTGGTTTTCAGATCAGCAAGGTCTTTTCGCGGCAGCACCTTAGTGCTCATTTCCTCACTCCCATCTTCTCGCTGTTTTCCCACCTCCTTGGCCATGCCAGCCCCGCTGTGTGCGGGCTCTGCTGTAAAACCCATTAGCAGAGTGATTTGGGTGGAAAATCCCGGATAAAAAGCCCGGGAATAGGAAGCGATTGTGGGGGATGCTGAAGGGCGGAAAGCGCCTCTGCTGGCCCCCTCACAAAGAGCACGGGCTGCACAATTACCCTCACAGAAAGAAAACATCACAAACCAAGAGTTGGGAGAGGAGATAAAAGGGAAAGCAGCCACACAACTTCTGACAACCGGGGAAATGCTGAGAAAAAGGCTGAAAGGAAAAGGCCTGCATGCGTGAGGGTAATTGGAACCAAATAAACACATCTCCCCCCGTTTCGTTCCTGCCCTCTGAGGGAAACGGCATTTTACGCATTCCTCCTAAACAAGCGCTTTGTGAATGTGTCACTTATTTCTGCCCAGAGAGGCAAGAAAAACATCGAGCTCCGGGAATTAACCAAGAACAGAGTTTGTTTTCAACATTTCTTCCAGCCTTTTGTGTTCCAGCTACTCACCTCACCGCTGCCTCCTCCAGGGATCTTCCAGAAGGTTCTGGGTGGCTGCACCTGCCTCACCCCAGTGCAGCCCGATGGGACAGGCTTCCTTCAAGTCACATCTTCATCAGAACAGAGCCTTCAGAAGGATTTTAAAGGAGTTTAGGTGCTCCAGAGCTAGGAGTGGGGGAGGCCTAACCCACCCCGGCTGGCTCTATTTCAGGCTTTAGCACCTGGGTCATGTGAATCCTGAGCTCTCATCAAAATCAAACCCCTCATTCACCTTCTAAAGGGAGCGGCAGGATTCATTGCTTGCCCATTTTCCCCGTCAAAGTTACTCCCAAAGTTTCTTCTTCATCCCTCACTCAGCCCTCCTTAAAAACTGGTAGAAAAGTGAGAGCGAGGAAACATTCATTGTTTTTGTGCAGTTGAGGGAGGAAGAAGCAAAGAGAGGATAAATCTCCACTCAAGTTTATAGAATGATAATTTAGGTGGGAAAAGACCTTTAAAATAGAATCCAATCATTACCCAACACTTCCAAGTCCATCACTAAACCATCTCCCCAAGTGCCACATCCACACTTGTTTTAAATATCTCCAGGGATGTTGACTCCACCACCTTCCTTGGTAGCCCATTCCAATGTCTAATCAATCTTTCTGCTAAGTTCTGTTCTAATGTTGAACCTAACCCTGCTCTGGTGTGGCTTGAGGCCATTGCCTCTTGTCCTATTGCTGGTTGCCTGGGAGCAGAGCCTGACCCCCATCTAGCTATGCCTTCATGGTGGAGACTTGTAGAGAGTGATAAGGTCTCCCCTGAACTTCCTTTTCTCCAGGCTTAACACCCCCACGTCCCTCAGCTGCTCCTCATAGGACTCATGCCCCAGACCCTTCACCAGCTTTGTTACCTTACTTTGGATCACAAAGTTTGACAGTTAATGATAAAAGCCACTCAGCTGAAGTATGTGGAAGATTCAATGCACAACTGCTTGGTTTCATTATAAAAATAAAATCAATATTTAAAGACTGACCTAGTGGCTGTGGTGGATTTGGTGGTGTAAAACATTTAGGTCCAAAAAAGCCTTTTATTTCAACGTAGTAGAATTAAATTGCAGGAATCAATGTGAAATCTTGATTTCTCTGATGCTACTGGAACAGCTTTGGAGCGCCTGGAGAAAAGGAGGCAGTGAGGCAGCTGGGCTGTGCAGAAGTGGAAAGCTTGCTTTCCCAACTTCCCAAGCACAACCCGGCTGCTTCAAACCCTGCCAGCCCAGAGAAGGGCTGACGTTCAGCGGTTTGGCTCGGATGGCGCGCTATGAAAAGCTCAACATCCTCTTTATGCTCTAAAGCTACACTGCGGTTCCCCAGTCTAAATTAAATCAAGCCTAAAAAGAGTTCAGAAAGAAGTGCACAAAAAAAGCCAGTTGGGAAATTTCAAGCTGTTTGCCAGGTTCCACTTCCCAGCACAGGACGCCGAGCTGTTGGCATGCGCTGGGGCTGATTGAAGACAATTAAAGGTATGTCTTGCCCTTGAGCACAAGATACCATCACTTTTTGTGATGTTTTGCAGGGACATGGGCTCCATGCTGGTGCTCCCAGGGAGCAGGGTGACCCTCTCAAGCCCCTGGGCCCCTCCTGCCATCCCTGACCCCAGGTCCTGGGAATTTTGCTTCCTCGTGGCTCCTCCTGCTGGCCGTGGGGGGACCCCTGTCTGAGGGACCACCATGTCCTGTAGTGCTCAGTTATGAATCCAATGCTTCTGTGAGCAGTAAGATACCCCAAACTCATATATTTCTATAGCAGATTCACCACATTCCCTGGAAAAGAAGTACTCAGTGGAATATGGTGTCTGCTAGAAAGGATACAGCAGCACAGATGCTTTTTGGCAAGCACATTTCTGGGCATGCACTACCTCAGCAGGTAAACTGTTAATTAAACTACCATTAATGACTGGTAACCAACACATAAATGCATTCCTATAAACAGATATTGTTCCATATCTCTGGTTATCAGTCATGCTATTTAGTCTGAAATAATGAATTCCACACCAAATTACCCCATAGTAACCACGTAATTTTTCTGTAAACTGTTATATGTTTGAGGAGGATGCTTTAGCGTATAATTGTGGTGAATTAGGCCTGGCAAGGGATTACACAGCTGCAGAATCTCTTTGTTGGGCTGAGCATGAGGTCCAAGTCTTCTAAGAGATGCTTTAATGTGCCAAGATCAATACCAGAGGGGCAGAACTTAGAACAAATGGGCCACAAGGGCCAAATTCTGCTGGTAAATCAGTCTGGTAATGACATGCCAGTGATGTCACAGCTGGTACTGGCAGTCTGAAGGGTAGAACGGCCAAAGTGAGCCAGGGTGCAGCAGCCAGAGAAGCAGAGATGGGAGTCCAAGGGCTAGCAGTGACCTCTGAAGAGACAGCTGGGAGACAGACGTTTGGTTTAGGGATATGGTCTCTACTTTCCAGCCTGACTGATCATCAGTGATCCAGAAAGGCAACAAGTAGATGAGTCTGTGCCTTGAAATCTGGTAAACAATTTAAAGTAATCACATAAAACCTTCATTTTGGCATCTGCCACATGGATGAGATTCCTTCTTTACAATGCTTTTGACAGACTCTAAACTGCGGATGGTACCACATTGTGAGCAGTAACAAAGCCAAAGTATTCCTGGTTAATGAACAGCATACAAGTCACTGAAAGTAACTGGCCATGAGCTACATACAGATTAAAATTATACCTCTCTTAGTTTAACAAATGGAACCAGACATTGCTGTGGGTTTGTTTTTGGTTTTTTTTCTCCTTTGAAATTAGGAAGTGCCAGTTCTTTGGAATTCTTACTCTACAAACAACTTTGGTCAAATTAATTTTTAAGGTACTAACTGGTACATAGCACCAACACAACACTTCAACAAACAGTTAAACACTTTGCTTTGCTGCCCTCCTGGCTCTGTTAAACTCCTCAACAACAAGCCACAAGCTTGCAGAGCACCACACAATGGTAAACCTGCTTATCAGCCCACTTTCTAGGATAGAGGGAACTCATGGTCATATCCTTGAACTAGACTAAAAACCTGCTCCAAAATCTAGACAACACACTCTTTTTTCCTGAAGTTTCACAGTTATTTCCGCAGAAAAAAAAGGAGGTAGTTTCCCACGTTACTGAAATTTCATATTTTGTTGTGCTCTGTCCAAAACTGGAACTTGAAAAACTAGGGGGATGCTTATGTAAAAGGTTTGCTGTAAAAAGGGAGGAAACCTTTCTATTTAAGATTAATCCAAGCCCCGATTTACTGTAGAAGTCACAACAGTGTAAGATGGCCAAGCAGTAATAGCTTGTACTCCTGACCCTCTGGAAAGGAAAATTTGTCACCAGACTTTCTTAAAATATGCACATGAAGACACAGAGACAAGTTATAGAAAAAGGTACCCATTTATTCAAGGTATGACAAGGATATTTACAGTATTAATCTGCTCAGAATAAGATCCATCCTTACGAGTTTTAAAGCAGCAATTATAAATTACATTTAAAAGGGGAAACATTCCAAGCATGTTTCTGTTCGATATTTTTACAAGGACAGAAACACTTTAAGGCTAAGTTGTTTTGACCTTTGCTGCCACCCATATTTATCTTGGCAAAACCATCTCAAAGACAACATTACCTTGAGGGATAGACTATGCTAAATTCAATATACAATTCTGTTCCCTCAGATGCTTTTCACAACAGTTCACGTGTGACAAAAAATTGACTTTTGATGTAAAACAATTAATTAAATATAAATGAGATGACCTGCATATACCCCAGCTTCTCAGAGGCAAAAGATCATCCACAGCAACACATTAACCACCTCCAAAAGACATCAACTTTCTTGTTGATGAAGGTACTTCAGCTTACCAAGCAAGTTGCTGCAGCCAGAGATCACAGTCGTGGTGCAAACCACCTTTTCCTTCACATTATTTCTCAAGACCAAAGAACAGAAACCTTCAGGTAGCTGATTTCTAAGGTAAATGATGAACACTGTCTGCTTTAGACAGCACTTGGTTCCCACAGCACAGACTAGTGCCCTACCACAGCAAACAGGATAAGTTGGCTAAGCTGCTGTAGTACCATTCTCTAGTCTTTGATAACATTGTAACACACAACAGAGCTATAGGAGCAGTTAAAATTGGTTTATCTTTTGAGGTAGAGCCCACAAGTCATATTTACTCCTGTCTCTAAACTGCAATGCACATGCCATCAAGCAAATACAGCCATTTTTGGTCATATATAAAACAAACCCAGCTTTTTTGGATGTTATTAATTGTAAAATAACAGGCTGTTTTGTTGGGTTTTTTTTCTGAATCATTTTGTGCCTATTTTAGAAGGTAGCAAATTAAACACTGATACTAGTAGATTGTGGCTATTTATACAGTTGCAAAGAAAAAAACCCCATGTTTTATACAAATAGATTTCAGAGCAACTTTCAAAAGTTTTTTTAAACTTAGAAATTACTTTGGAAACTTTCAATTTTAACTGCATAATAAAGAAAAAGAACCACAAAAAACAACAAAAACCCCCACAGTCATTAGACCTTTAGGCTACATAGCTACTTTTAATACTACATTGGGTAATTGTTTCAGGATTATATGAAAGGGAAAAGAAAGTCAAACACAACAGAAACCCTCCCTGCCTGCACGAACACAATTCACTGAACAAGCAGGGTTTGTTAGGTGAGGACGCTGTAACTAAGATTATTGAAAGTGCACAACGAACATTCCAACAGAAGCAGAAATGTGAGCTGTGCATTAGGAGGGGACATTTATTCCAGGTTAGCCAAGAGCCCTCTGTAACAAATCTGTTGCTGTAACCAAGACTTGTTTGAAGATAATCAGATAATCCAGTAACAAGTTACAAACACATGGAGATTGGCACTTGATCTTTAGTCAGCCTCAGTCACTCCGTTTTCTCCCCAGAGACTCACATACACAGAACTTTAAGTTTCTATTTTATTACCGTAAAAAATAAAAGTAAATTGTAGTTCCAGAGTAAACAAAGAAAGCTTAGTTTCAAACTGTTTAAAAACAAAGCTCCAAATTCTGATAAGTTACATGTCACAGGGTTCACATCAGCACCTCAACCTATGCAGTTTTTTGTGAACTAAGCGTATTTCACAAAGTTTTCATGTTAGTGACAAGGGGCTACATTCTCATCAGGATGCACATGTAACATGGCTCAAGAACAACCTGGAGGGACTGCAAGTCAGCTTCCAGAGTTTCCCACTGAGCTCTACATGTTTAGAACCGACATTTAAGACCAAAGTTATTAAAGATTGACCTCTTGCATATTCCGAAATGGAAGGCAAATACAATCAACTAACATTTGGCTTTGAAACATTAAGATAACAATGCTGTATTTCAGCCACATATTTACAAAAATGTTTACAACAGAACTGTGTAGGGTTTGCTTTTTATTGTCATAATACACTTATAGATGAATAGTCATCTTAACCTTCATGCAAAGATGCATCTCTTGTTACACAAGAAGTTTCCTGTATGATTTTTTTGCACTCTGAGGATAGCAAGCCGAGGGTTGGGTAAA